ATCACATCTTTTTTGCTCTGATAGGATGAACCCACCACAGGGATGGACCCCAAAGCACGACGCTTCCTGTGGAACCTAATTCTTGACATCATTAAGACGGGGCGTTCCGTGGTCCTGACATCACACAGGTTGGATTATGGGTGGTATATAGAGGGAAAGCAGGTTTTGCCATTTTGGCAATAACAAAGATGAGCATTTTAGCGCAGTGGGCGTGAAGGTTTTACAATATGTCTGTTCTGGTCCCCAGCATGGAGGAATGTGAAGCACTTTGTACGAGGCTGGCGATTATGGTAAACGGGCGGCTCAAGTGTCTCGGCAGCATTCAGCATTTAAAAAACAGGTGAGAAACATGCACAGAGGCAGGACAGGCGCAACCTCTGGCCTATTGCCTTAAAATAAAGGAAAACCATAAAATACAAAATAAAATATTTATTTGTGTAAGGTCATTAACATAAAGTAAATTCACTTTTCAAAGGTCATGAAGCCCTCATTGGGTGCAGGGGAAATACCCGAGACAGATTTTGGTATTTAGCAATCACCATAATTTGGTGCATGAAGTAGTACTTAATAACAAACATTAACCCCTTATGATCCAGGAGTTAGGCCAATACCTCTAAATACTATTCCGATAATTATATTGGTGCTTTAAGGGGTTTAGCCTTTCAGAGGTGCAGGGTTTGTTCTATATAATCTAGTGCTAGTCATAGCCTAATGGCCATAAGAACAGTTTAACAAAAAAAAAAAAAAATTTACACATTATGGCCATCAAAACCCACAGGACTTCTAAAACCTGAATGTTTGAGCCACGTGGAATCACGCGTTTTACCATTATTCCTTTATTCATCCAATTTCACCCACTGAGGGATTGATCAATATCTAAAGATGGCGGTGATTATTTATGATTCTTATTTTCAAAAATATATCACAAACTTTAATTAAATGTAAAAAATAAAATTAAAAAAACTTTGACAATTGTCATTTAAAAATATTTTTGGGGGGAAGGAAAGGAGAGAGTGCTATGGGCTACAAGTTGATTACTACATTTTGTGCATATTGCCTGTACAAGTGGATTAGGATCAGACAATTTATTGAGATAAAGACTTAGGTCTGTTCTGCAGATGACTTTAATGATTGTATCAGACTGAGTCTGTTTGCTACACAGGTTCGGCGATGGCTACATGATTACAGTGAGGACGAAATCCAGCAGTAATCTCAAGGAAGTGGTACGGTTCTTCAACAGGAACTTCCCAGAAGCAGTGCTCAAAGTGAGTATGAGTATCTGCCGACTGTGCTTCCAAGAAGACTAGGAAGTAGCGGAGTTATCTCCACACTGTTTTAAGCTGGATTGTTGTACATATACCACATAACCTGTCCAACAGGAATGTATAGAATATGTAGTTCAGCAGTCGTAAGTAGTTTCATTCATGAATAGAATTTAGCTACTAGGCGAGCTTACTTAGATCTTACTGAATAACTTAATTCAAGTTTTCAGACCATAGATTTGGCCGCACATTAAAAGTGCTGTGTCTGTCCTTTTTTAGGAAAGACACCACACCAAGATACAGTACCAGCTGAAATCGGAGCAGGTCTCCTTAGCCCACGTGTTCAGTAAGATGGAGCAGGTGCTGGACGTTTTGGGCATTGAAGATTATTCCGTCAGTCAGACAACCTTGGATAACGTGAGTAAGCCAAGTACAATCAGGATGGGAAAAGTGGCCCTCACCACTTTTATCTGTATTTTCCCATAGAAATCAAGGATTAGCATCTAATTGAATGTTTAAACTACATTGCCTCCTCCAGAACAAGTTCTCATCCTTATTGTATTTCAACACCATGGTCATCTTGTCTCATCACTTGACCCATGACTTCATGCTAACCAATCTCCCTCCTGCCTTGGTCCAGGTGTTTGTTAATTTTGCCAAGAAGCAGAGCGATAACTTGGAGCAACAAGAAGCTATCCCCAATTGTGCAGTCCCATCTCCTCTAGAAAAAGTAATCAGCTTGCTGAGACCCAGAACGACTCCCACAGAGCTGCGGGCACTTGTGGTGGAAGAGCCCGAAGATCTAGAGACAGATGATGAGGGTCTAATCAGCTTTGAGGAGGAAAGGGTAAGAAATAAATTTATATAATTCAGCATACAGAAATAATATATCTCAAGCAGACCTACTCCTAACGAACTTAAATTCTATTAATTTATTAATACAAACTGAATAATTTACCTCCCAATAGGTGAGTGTTGGCAATAATTAGGATGGGAGGCAAAGTGCAAAATAAAGCTTTTAGATACAAAAACTTGCATATACCAGAACCCAATGAAAGCCAGTCCAGTATTGGAGAGCCTTGAGCTTTCAGACCACCAGCCCAAACAAGAACACACTGAGTGTTGACCTGCCCAACTCCTGCCGGCTGCCTCACACTGACAGTACTGTGCCAACAGGTACCCCAACACACCTCCTGTTAATCAGGAGAAGAATGTTATTGATTCAGTGATGGCATTACCCCAATAAGGAGACAGGGAAGTGAGGTCTAGGGAACAATGCAAATACAGATGCCGTTTTTTCTATTTTGTGGGTATTCTGACTATTTACAGATTTTTTCATAATTGCAGCATTTATGGGACAAAAAAATACCACCTTTTATTGATTCCTTGCAAATAGCCATAATTGGGGTAATTTTACCATTTTTATCTATTTTTGTTTGTTGTCACACTTTTATGCTGAAACCTTATTTTCATAGGTTTTTTGTTTTCTTCCTATATTTCAACTAAATATTATTCTAAAATAGCCTTTTCATATACTTTTCAAAAGAGGTAAAATAATGTTGTTTTTAGTATTTTGTTTAATATTGTATTGGCATTGGTTTTTACATCTTCCTTTCCCAGGCCCAGTTGGCATTCAACACTGACACACTCTGCTAAGAAAGGGACCACCAACATTATATGGCGCAAGTTGACTCCCATCTTGTTCTGCTCCTAAAACTGCTCCAGAAAAGGGGTTCCCCCCCCAACCGTACAGTGTTCATCAGCATTGTCCATTTGTAAGTTTGCCCCCAACAAACACCTACAGTTGGGGTACTATGCGGGAAGAATGGAACAAGTAATCCGGTCCCTGGACTGAAGTGACTGGTTATCCTTTGGTTTGCAGCAGGATACTGTAAGGCTTCCTAAGACATGTTAGGCCTGCCCAAAGTATGTCTATTCAGCTTGCTGCACTTGAGCTGAAGCCTAGAAGACTGGTCAATATGTTTTTAACCTGGGCTTCTGCTGTCCTACCCTGGGCTGAACGAAATCCAAGCATTAATGGACTCGGCTTGGCTATAGACTGGCTTTCACCTCCTACCTGGTGCTACCACCAATGACGGACGGACATGTCTTCTGCTGTGTTTTAGCGGTGGTTCCCTTTTGTTCTACGCCGTATTGGGGAACACCTAAGCTTCAGCATCCTGCGAGCACCTGGATGGAGGGTCTTGCCGCTGTCTCTGATTCTCTTAACTCATTGTTCTTTTTAACCCATCAGCAGATCTGGTGCGATTACTTTTCTCCGTGGGCATTATGTAGTCTTTTATTTGTTGATTTTTGCTGTTAACTGTGCTGAACCCTGTCTGTGAAATACTATGTGCCATTCACTGTTTGAAGTATCGTCGCAGAGGGTGCCCATTTGGGGCATTTTAGAATCTGCACTGCCAAAAAAAAAACAATATGGGAATTGTATGTGTGTGTACATAATGCTTTATTTTGTGTTTTATTTTTGGTTCTCTCTCAAAATTGCAAATGAAATGACCAAACATGCACTTTAACTCCAAAGTTGTTGTTTGTTTTTTTTTTAAATTCTGGTATATGAAGAGCAGGATTTGAATAGATATTTACTCAAGGACAAATGCCATTACATGGTTATTATTTGAGAATTTAAAATAAATTTCTAATTTAATGCCAAAATAGCCAAACTGGATAATTTATCTAATTCCGCTATACTTCCAGTTTGGTTACTCTGGCCGTAAAGAAACACTAGAGTCACCAAAATAACTTGAGCTAAGTGAAGCAGTTTGAGAGTATAGATCATGCCCCTGCAGGCTCACTGCCCAATGATCTGCCATTTCGGAGTTTAATCACTTTTATAAGCAAGTTCTATAACATTTTAATATATATTTGCACTTCACTTAATGGGCTCGTTTATGTAAACTTCAGTCAAGTTAAAGTATTACTGTCTTGTGAACAAGGTATTCACAGCTTTTATGTCCCCACCCTATATCCTCCCACTTTCCATTGTACCCTGTACCTGCCTGTCGTTCTTTGGCCCCCAGAGAAATGTCATTCATGCAGCAGTGCAGGCATTATGGCCTATTAATTGATTTTGTTATGGACTATTCTAAGCCAGCTACTTGGGGCAGGATAGGGAGTGGGAATTCTACAATGGGAAGTTTTAGGAGAATCTGATGAAAAATAAGATATTAGAGCAAACTATAGTCATTAAAACAAGTTTAGCTAAATAAAGCAGTTTTAGTGTATAGATCATGCCCCTGCAGTCTCACTGCTCAATTCACTGCCATTTAGAAGTTAAATCACTTTTGTTTCTGTTTATGCAGCCCTAGCCACACCTCCCCTGGCTGTAACTGACAGCAAAATGGTTTCATTTTCAATTAGATGTTAACTTACTTTAGAAGTTTGCCTCCTGCTCTGTAAATAGAACTTTAATTACATACAGGAGGCTCTTGCAGGATCTAGCAAGCTATTCTAATTCTAAATTAAACAGAATTTGCAAGGAAGTGTAAACATTAGATGACTCTTTACAGGAAGTGTTTAGGAAGGCTATTAATGTCACATGCAGGGAGGTGTGACTAGGGCAGCATAAACAAAGTGATTTAACTCCTAAATGGCAGTAGTAGAGAATTGGCTTTTTCAGATTGACAGAGTAGTCAATGCATGGAACCGCCATCAAACGAAGGATAAACGTTCTAATATAGTAAGAGAATTAAATATGTACACCATATTTTTTTTTAATTACTGCACATTACAAATCTTCAATAAATAAAGTATATAGAGGGAACACAGAGACACAATTCGGGTCTATTACCTTAACGAAGAATTGCAAAGCCTACACCGAAACACCAAGCTGGATCTCCTGAATTAAAAGGCGGTTACAGTGCACCCAGACTATTTACACTTTGGATTAGGGGGGTTTTCTAATGTCAGGAGACTTTGGGTGTGCACAATTTTATTTTGCACACCAGAAATCAGGTGACCCTTTCTCTATTTGCTTGATACTATTTTATCTTTTGAGTAAATTAATTTAGGAAGTGACTGAAATATCTCCCGGATTGCATCTCCTTCATCAAATACTGAACGAATGTCTGACGCACATCTCCGAGCAGACATGACACGCAACACAAAGCATTGTGGGATAAACTCTATATTCAGAAAGAGCTCAAAATCTGGAACTTTAACCCCTTAAGGGCCAAGTGTTAGGCAAAACTCATGAATAGTAAAGGGACACTGTGGTCACTGTACCTCTTTCATCTCATTGAAGTGATTATAGTATCTGGAGTTCCCGGCACCATCTTTCTATTCAGCGTTAAATCGTTTTTAATGTCTTATTGCTAAACCAGAGTAGCCAATGCCCTCTGTGCTGCTTGGGTTAATGAGGAAGCATTAACCTGAATCGGAGGCTGTGATTGGCTGAGAGTGTCAGGTGGCCGCTTTCACCCTATCACATCGCCCATTGCTGGTATGAGTTGGTATGGCTAGAAGGAAGAGTGTAATCTCTGCCTTAGTCCACATGTAGGTAGGGTTGCCTTGGGAAAATACAGACCATGCTAAGCTGCAAAACGAGCATGACATCACAGGATATGACATCACAGTTATACAGTATACAAGTATACAAAGGAGTGACAATGTTAAAAAAAAAAAAAGTGGCATTCAGAAGGGGGAAAATGCTGTAAATAAACTACTTAGTTTGATTGTGCTATATAGAGGGATTGCTCTGCAGTTTGGGGAGATTGGACCCAGCAGCAGGCTTTCTGCATCACATACCTGTCTAGATCAGACAATATATACAAATAAACGGGGGTTTTCTCTAAACACCAAATTCCAATTAACAATCCGAATTGTTGTCAAAAAGTCAAGCTCTGTCTAGGATAAACTGGAGAATTTTATCAAATCAATTATTTTTGTCTATAATTTAAAATTAACATTTCAATTCACTACATCTCAGAATCTGTGTCTCTCCTCCTGTCCATACCCACATCTGTGTCTCTTCATCTGCTAACTCCTATCTGTGTCTACTCCTGTTACCCTCCATCTGTGTCTCTCCTCTTGTTAACCTCCACCTCTGTCTCTCTCATCCTGTTAATCCCCTTTTTTGTCTCTTCTCCTGTTAACCCCCATATGTGTCTCTCCTCCTGTTAATCATAGTCTGTGTTTCTCATCCTGTTAATCCCCATCTCTCTCTCTCTCTCATCCGGTTAACCTCCATTTGTGTTTCTCTCATCCAGGGCTGGACTGGACCACCGGGATACTGGGAAATTTCCCGGTGGGACACAGCACCTGGGGGGGCTGCATGTAGAGAGGGAGCCCTGCTCCCTATATTTTAATATCGCAGCCGCATGTCGGTGCCTCCAGGTGGCCGGTCCGACGGAACACTCTGAAGTGATTACTCACCTTGCGGCCGGTGGCTCCATCTCCTGTGCTGACAGCTATGCTGCAGTGAGTATGAGTGAGTGTGTCGGGCGGCCGCCTAAGCGATCCAGCGGCACACTCACTAATACTGACAGCCGTGCACCTGTCAGCACAGGAGGACTGAGGGCAGGGCCGGACTGGGAATTAAAAGCAGCCTTGGAAAAAAAAATATTTACCAGCCCCCTAATGCGTCGCGCCAGCATAATGTGCAGATACAGAGTTAGAAAAGAGAACTTAAAATTAAAAATTATTACTCCAATGTAAAAAAAAAAGCACTCATAGGCTTCAAAATAAACAAAAGTGCAGATTTATTTTAAGCAGACGTGCCTTTGCATGTAATCAATGTTTCAGTCCAACTACCTTGACATATTAAGGAAAGCTTGGTAATGGGACCGAAATGGTGAATGTATGTAGGGCACAACTGTAAAAAAATTACGTTATCTTGTTTATTTTGAAGTCCTGTGGGTGCGCTCTTCACTTTAAATATGTTATTGTGATGGAGTATGCATCTAGTAACAAGACTGGGCCAATATCTGCTCATTACAAATGGTACATAGTAATGACATTTATCTGTGTATTATGCATATATAAATGTTCATTAATATATGTGTAAATATAATAGGCATATATATATATATATATATATATATATATATAAATATAATTACAAATACAACTAATACACATTAACCCCTTAAGGACACAACTTCTAGAATAAAAGGGAATTATGACAGAATATTTCTGTCATGTGTCCTTAAGGGGTTAATATACATGTCATATACCAGTGGTGGATCCAGAGCATGATCCCAGCAGGGGCACTTGTAGATTATTTAAGGAAATAATCCATGCACAATAACCACTACTGCTCTGTGTAGTGGTTATGGTGCAAGGGGTGCCGGGACCCCCTCCCAGAGTAAGTAGTCAAACCGTTTAAGAACAGTTTGACAACTTATCTGGGGTCTGCTGGGATATGGGGCTGTAGTAGGGTATAGGAGCAGTGGTGCAATGTGTGAGGGGTGCAGTGTGTGTGTGAAAGGTTCAGTGTATGTGTGTGGGGGGGTGTAGTGTGTGAATGTGTAGGGTGTGTGGGGCAATGTGTGTATAGGGGGGCTGTGTATGTGTGTGTGTGCAGCAATGTGTGTGTGGGGGCTGTGTATGTGTGCGGGGGCAGTGTGTGTGTGTATAGGGCAATGTGTGTATAGGGGGGATGTATATGGGTGTGTGCAGCAATGTGTATGTGTGCGGGGGCAGTGTGTGTGTGTATAGGGCAATGTGTGTATAGGGGGATGTATATGGGTGTGTGCAGCAATGTGTGTGTGGGGGGCTGTGTATGTGTGCTGGGGCAGTGTGTGTGTGTGTATAGGGCAATGTGTGTATAGGGGGGATGTACAGGGAGTGCAGAATTATTAGGCAAGTTGTATTTTTGAGGATTAATTTTATTATTGAACAACAACCATGTTCTCAATGAACCCAAAAAACTCATTAATATCAAAGCTGAATATTTTTGGAAGTAGTTTTTAGTTTGTTTTTAGTTTTAGCTATGTTAGGGGGATATCTGTGTGTGCAGGTGACTATTACTGTGCATAATTATTAGGCAACTTAACAAAAAACAAATATATACCCATTTCAATTATTTATTACCAGTGAAACCAATATAACATCTCAACATTCACAAATATACATTTCTGACATTCAAAAACAAAACAAAAACAAATCAGTGACCAATATAGCCACCTTTCTTTGCAAGGACACTCAAAAGCCTGCCATCCATGGATTCTGTCAGTGTTTTGATCTGTTCACCATCAACATTGCGTGCAGCAGCAACCACAGCCTCCCAGACACTGTTCAGAGAGGTGTACTGTTTTCCCTCCTTGTAAATCTCACATTTGATGATGGACCACAGGTTCTCAATGGGGTTTAGATCAGGTGAACAAGGAGGCCATGTCATTAGATTTTCTTCTTTTATACCCTTTCTTGCCAGCCACGCTGTGGAGTACTTGGACGCGTGTGATGGAGCATTGTCCTGCATGAAAATCATGTTTTTCTTGAAGGATGCAGACTTCTTCCTGTACCACTGCTTGAAGAAGGTGTCTTCCAGGAACTGGCAGTAGGACTGGGAGTTGAGCTTGACTCCATCCTCAACCCGAAAAGGCCCCACAAGCTCATCTTTGATGATACCAGCCCAAACCAGTACTCCACCTCCACCTTGCTGGCGCCTGAGTCGGACTGGAGCTCTCTGCCCTTTACCAATCCAGCCACGGGCCCATCCATCTGGCCCATCAAGACTCACTCTCATTTCATCAGTCCATAAAACCTTAGAAAAATCAGTCTTGAGATATTTCTTGGCCCAGTCTTGACGTTTCAGCTGTGTGTCTTGTTCAGTGGTGGTCGTCTTTCAGCCTTTCTTACCTTGGCCATGTCTCTGAGTATTGCACACCTTGTGCTTTTGGGCACTCCAGTGATGTTGCAGCTCTGAAATATGGCTAAACTGGTGGCAAGTGGCATCGTGGCAGCTGCACGCTTGACTTTTTTCAGTTCATGGGCAGTTATTTTGCGCCTTGGTTTTTCCACACGCTTCTTGCGACCCCGTTGACTATTTTGAATGAAACGCTTGATTGTTCGATGATCACCCTTCAGAAGCTTTGCAATTTTAAGAGTGCTGCATCCCTCTGCAAGATATCTCACTATTTTTGACTTTTCTGAGCCTGTCAAATCCTTCTTTTGACCCATTTTGCCAAAGGAAAGGAAGTTGCCTAATAATTATGCACACCTGATATAGGGTGTGGATGTCATTAGACCACACCCCTTCTCATTACAGAGATGCACATCACCTAATATGCTTAATTGGTAGTAGGCTTTCGAGCGTATACAGCTTGGAGTAAGACAACATGCATAAAGAGGATGATGTGGTCAAAATACTCATTTGCCTAATAATTCTGCACTCCCTGTAGTGAGTAGACCTGCTAAAGGATTAAATTTGCGAAGGAGTTAGTGTTTCGGCAGGTCCAGCGAGTCTAGCAGCAACGATCTGGCTTTCTGAGCGGTTACACTCATGAAGAACGCGATTCCAATAGCTGGTATTTTTCCATTGACACCGATGGGAACTTGACAGACTGGGACTGTCTTAGCGAGCATTATCTCTGATGAACTCTGCATTAATTCACAGAAACAGTGACTGGCCAGACAACATTTTGATCCATGTGTGGGGTTCATCATCTCTATCAGTATTTTCATATTAACAGTGAACACTAACGTGACATCACACGGGATATCGCCAGTCCGTCATCATTTTAGTAAAAGGGTTGTTTTTATATTCATTTTATTTAGATTTGTATTATTTAATGGGAACGCCCAGGAATATGATGGCCAAGAAAGTCCCATTATGGTCTATCATCACCAGATCTTTCACCGGACATTACTTGATTAACTTAGTGTTGCGACTCCATCATTCTTTATTACTCTGTATAAAGTTCAATCCAGATGATGGTTTCCAGGGAATTAACATGAATATATGCCTTTAAAGTAATCCCCATGCCATTATCACTGTCTGGATCTCATTCTATT